GATATGCCACACAGTTTGCAGGTGAAAAATAATAATGCAGGGGCCCTTGCTCAAAAATTATCAAAAATGTCAAGATGGCAATAGCAGAGTATTAAATCAAACACAGGACCCTTCTAAGCATGAGCCCTGTGTGACTGCACAAGTCATTGCGTATGAAGTCATCCCTGCCTCTGATAAGGGGCAGAGTTGGGGCATCCTCTTCAGTTCTGGCTAAACCTCAGATTTAGAGGCAAGAACTGTGTCCCTAGGTCTCGGAGATGAGGCCTTCTCAGCAGTATTGCACACTTCCAACTGTGGGTCTGGTCAGGGGACAGTGATCCTGCACCTTCTGCAAAGGTAGAAGGTATTTTTATGTCCCTTCTCCCAGCTAGAATGGGTTTCCATCAATGTGTTAAGTGTGACAGAGTGTATTTTGTCCTTCCCCAGTGGTATAAGCCATTTGTTCTGTAGGAGACACAGAAAAAATGGTCCGGGTAGGGTTTGATGTTTTTCTTACAGTGGGTACTGTGCCTTTCTCCTGGGTCAGCACCATCAATGATGCCTCTCATCACTCATGCTCTGACCCCAACTTTCTTGAGATCATCTAGCTTGGAGAACAGCTGGCTAGCAGCTACAAATTCCCCATGTGCTTGTCATTCCCAGTAGTTCTATATCCTCTCACCTATCTGTAATGTCCTTTAGCAATTTGTTACAATTTTTAGCTGATTTTTCTTACCAGTGTCTGGTGAGATTTGCCACAGGTAGGCAAGGGCTCACCTCCCCTTTCTTCTTGTAGGCTCCTGTCTTCTCTTAGATTTCCCATTAATTGGTTGCCCTGTGACCTCAGCTCTTTAATAGGTGCAAGATTTACAGATTGTCCAGCATTTTTGTTGTTGTAGTAAAGATGAAAGTGTTGGTTTTTTTTTTTTAATTTGCCTACCTCCTAAGTGGAAAATGGAAGTCTATGAGTATTTTTTAAAACTGTATTATGGCAAATTGCAGTATAACGAACCCCGTCACCCAGCTACAACAATGATCAATCAAAGACCTCGTTAGTTTAATCGATTTCTACCCTACCTCCTTCCACTCTAATGGATTATTTTGCAACAAATCCTATTCATCATGAAATTTCCAACATAGTGTGTAATTATAAGATATATTTTAAGTCAATAAGTATATCACAGCAGTGAAATAATGATTCGATGTGAACTCATTTGTGTTTAAATAAATATATCTTTGCAAGTGCGTGGACAAACACCTGGAAAGAAACACATCAAACCGAGAGAAGCATTTGTGTATTGGGTGTGGGGTGGGATCAGGTGAGGGTCAGTGTGGCACGTGTTTATCTGTAGTGTCTTTATTAATGATGAGAACGTATTTCTGTATTATTTGTGTGATTTTAAAGGTGTGAAAAAGTAAAAGAAATGAAAGAAATGCAATTAGACTTTGGAATCTGACATGAATTTGAATCCCAGCTCCACTTTGGGCCACGTCTGTGACCCTGGACAAATCACATCACAGTGGGGAGGAAAGGAAGTGGGTAGAATTTGGAAAGGAGGTGGGGGAGGACAGATAAGAATTCCTTACAGGATTACTTGTGCTAAAGGATTAACCAACTCACCCCAGGTAAACTTTCCGGCATACTGTAGGCACTCAATAAATGTGGGGATTCTCATTTCTTTCGGCGTCTCCACTCACTGTAGAATTACGAGCAGGCACACACTCATGGAGGAATATTAAATCCTAATAATAATGAGCTTCTTCTGCCTCTGTGTGGTGGGTTCAAGTTACTGCTGGGATTTCTCTCACTCATAGAAAAACCGAAATGAATATTATTTATTTTCCCCTTAAGTTGGAATTCACCTTTTTTACCTTTTGACCCCCAAATCTGATTCTGCTATATCTTGTTGAGGTTTCTATTACTGTCCAGTGCTTACAATATCTCTGTCTCCCTCATCAGCTTCTGTCTCCTTCTTTATCTCTCTCTTTGTCTCTCCTAACAATTTCAAGCCTTCAGGGCTGTTGTGATGATTAAATTCCTTCAGGTCTGTGAAAACATTTTGTAAACTACAAAGTGCTTTCCAGAGCTACTCATTTGTTTATTCACAAAGTTTTGTTACAATGCCTATTGGCTGCACATTGCACAATGTGAAGGGCTAGACCCACTCTTTTGTGGCTTCATTGGAGGTGGAAGAGAGCAATTGTCAAAATCTACAGAAAGACTATGGTTGGCATTGGACAAAGTGCTGTAGGAACCTAGAGAAGGAAAGGTTTGCTTTTGCCAGGGACAGAGGACAAGCAAACAGTTGACATGAAAAGAAGACTTGAGCTACAGGCTGGGATCTCAGTAGCAGCTCCGGGTATGAAGAAGGGGGATGCTAGAAGGACTCTCATCAACACAGCGTGTGAGAGGCAGGAGACACATTCTGGGACCACCCCAGGGTCCTGTGTGGCTGCACTTTAAGAGTCATTGTAGATGTGACTGGAGAAAAGTCTAGAACCTTATGTTGAACGAGAACACAAGGATTTTGAATGCTGTACTGGAGAAGCTAGACATAAATCACTAAAGCTTAGTCCAGTGCTTTCCAGAGGGCAGACATTCAACAGTTACCTGGGGCATTGGGTTAAATCGATGCAATAGATAGGAAGCTTTATGGTTTCCACCTTGAATTGTCTATTCTCTTTTGTTTAAAAGGAGGTGATTTCAAAGTCTCAGCCTCACCAAGTCTATTTTAACAACAGCATTTCTCCAAGCACTTTCACTGTGCTAACATGTGACATCTATATTCATTACGAAGAAAAGTCTCCTGTCTTGACAACTAATGACTTTTTCTTGGAAGGTGATTCTTAAGAATATATGGCTTTTTCTCAGGATATAAAAATCAATGTGCTAAAATCACTAGCATTTCTAAATACCAATAACAGTCAAGCTGAGAGCCAAATCAGGAACAAACTCTCGTTCACAATTACCACACAAAAATAAAATACCTAGGAATACAGCTAACCAGGAAGGTGAAAGATCTCTACAAAGAAAACTATAAAACACTGCTCAAAGAAATCAGAGATGACACTAACAAATGGAAAAATATTTCATGCTCATGGATAGGAAGAATCAATATCATTAAAATGACCATACTGCCCAAAGAAATTTATAGACTCAATGCTATCCCTATTAAATACCATTGACATTCTTCACAGAACTAGAAAAAAACTATTTTAAAATTCATATAGAACCAAATAAAGCTCCCAAAATCAAGGCAGTTCTAAGCAGAAAGAACAAAGCTGGCAGCATCATACTACCAGCTTCATACTATACAACCGGGTTATAGTAATCAAAACAGCATGTTACTGGTACAAAAACAGATACATAGACCCATGGAACAGAACAGAGACCCAGAAATAAGGCCACACACTTACAGCTATCTGATCCTCAACAAACCTGACAAAAAGAAGCAATGGGGAAAGGGTTCCCTATTCAATAAATTAGGCTGGGAGAACTGGCTAGCCATATGCAGAAGTCTGAAACTAAACACCTTCCTTATGTCATATACAAAAATCAACTCAAGATGCATTAAAGACTTGAACATAAAACCCAAAACCTTAAAAACTCAGGAAGACAATCTAGGCAATACCATTCTGGACATAGGGACAGGCAAAGATTTCATCATGAAGACCCAAAAGCAATTGCAACAGAAGCAAAAATTGACACATGAGATCTAATTAAAATTGACACATGGGCTCTAATTAAACTAAAGAGCTTCTGTACAGAAAAAAAAACTATCAACAGAGTAAAAAGTCTACAGAATGAGAGAAAATTCTTGCAAACTATGCATCTGACAAAGGTCTAACATCCGGCATCTGTAAGAAACTTAAACAGATGTACAAAAAAAAACCAAAACAAAAAAAAAACCATTAAAAAGTGGGCCAAACACCTGAACACACCAGACCCTTTTTAAAAGAAGACATAAATGCGGCCAACAATCATACGAAAAAAAATCAATATTACTGTTGAGAAATGCAAATCAAAACCACGATGAGATACCATTTCACACCAGTCAGAATGGCTACTATTAAAAGGTCAAAAAATAGCAGATGCTGGTGAGTTTGCAAAGAAAAAGGAATATTTATACACTGCTGGTGGGAATCTAAGTTAGGTCAACAATTGTGGTAGACAGGCTATCCCTCTAAGACCTAGAAACAGAAATACCATTTGACCCACCAATCCCTTACTGGGAATGTACCCGAAGGAATATAAATCATTCTATTATAAAGATACATGCACACATATGTTCATTGCAACATTATTTTCAAAATACTGGAGACATGAAATCAACCCAAATGCCCATCAATAATAGACTGGTTAAAGAAAATATGGTACATATACACCATGGAATACTATGCAACCATGAGAGGAATGAGATCATTTCCTTTGCAGGGACATAGATGGAGCTGGAAGCCATTATCCTCAGCAGACTAACACAGGAACAGAAAACCAAACACCACATGTTCTCACTTATAAGTGGGGACTAAATGATGAGAACATATGGACACACAGAGGGGAACAGCACACACCAGGGACTATTGGAGGGAAAAGGTAGGAGGAGGAAGAGGATCAGGAAATACAGTTAATGAGTATTAGGCTTAATACCTGGGTGATGAAAAAATCGGCAGAAAAAAAAAAAACATGATAAAACTTCACCTATATAACAAAGCTGCATGTGTACACCTGAACTTAAAATAAAAGTTAAATAAAAAATAATTTTAAAATAATATATGGCTTTTCTAGAGGCTTGTCCATGCATGCTTTTGGGGGCACAAAAGATTCAGTCATCATATCTAGATTTCAGAACATCTACAAGTGAAGCGAAATGATTTTTTGCTAGAAGATAAATTTCTCTCAAAAGAATTTGACATCATTTCAGCAGTTGTGATAGCTAGCATTCATTAAAGATTCTACCTTCAGGCTTTTAAGAAAAAGGAAGAAAATAAAATCTAACTGGTTGTAATGGGTAAACATAAATTAGAATATAAAGTTTTTTTGTTTGTTTGTTTTTGTTTTTGAGACAGAATTTTGCTCTTGTTGCCCAGGCTGGAGTGCAATGATGTGATCTCGGTTCACCACATTCAGCTAATTTTTTATTTTCTCCATGTTGGTCAGGCTGGTCTCAAACTCCTGACCTCAAGTGATACGCCCGTCTTGGCCTCCCAAAAGTGCTGGGGTATTACAGGCATGAGCCACTGCACCCGGCCTAAAAATTTTAAAGTTCTTAAGAATACACTTAGAGAAACTAAAATTAGTAGAAAAAGAAACAAGTATTTTGACTAGGCAAGCTATAAAATATGGGAGAAAATCAGTACATATATTAATAAAAAGGTACTTTAACAAATTAAAACAATATACTTTTTTTTTTAACCCTGGCAAAGATTTAAACATATCAGTTGTAAGTGTTGCCAAGGGTAGAATAAATTGTCATAACCAAGCACGAGTGTAGTGGATGCTGTAGTATGCCACACAGATTCCCACTGAAGGATAGAGGCACCTATTTCCCCAGCTGGAAGAATGCTGCCTGCTCATGGCTCAGAGCAGAGTCCCTCCCTAGGAATTGTCCTTTCCTAAGGGAGTTGCCTCCCTAACACATCTCATATCCAATGATTGGGCCATTAGGACACACAAAGCTTTGGGCCCTTAACTTTAATTCAGGACAGCTGAAGGGGCCATTCTCAGTCCTGTTGCCATTGCATTGCAGTTCAGTGTGTCCCTCTGCCTGTCCTGCTCCCTTGCAGGTGCCATTCCAGCAGCCTTTCCCAATAAACCTCCTGCACACAAGTCTTCGTCCTAGGTCTGTTTCAGTCTAAGATGACTGCTATGAAGAAATAAATGTCTTTCCCCTTGCCATATCTATGTATATTTTCATTTATAAAATCTTATTTTGGTTCTATATTTATAAGGTATTTTTCATCGTGAATCAAATGAATATGCATCCACATTTATTTTCTCCTGGTTCTTTTAGTATTCTACATTTGTATATGCAAGTCTTTAAGTCATCTGGGAATTCATATCAGCGTCCTGAGTGAAAGAAGACTCTAATGGACTCTAATTAAATCCCTTCACCCCCTAAACAGTTGACCCCTGGAACTCATTATGGGATAAGCCACACGATTCTCAGTAGATTTTGAAGATGTGTGATTTGATTCCCCAAGCAGAAAGTCCGAATATCCTAAATTGGTAGCGCTCCAATTTAGAGGGTCCTGAATTTAGCCAGCAGGGGGCTCTAGTGCATAAGAAATGCTATCAGCTAAATTCTGCTAATTGGCTAAATTACCCCCACAATAAATGATTTGCTTTCTCTGACACAGTGAACTCTGCAATTGCAGAGCTCCTCTCTCCCTAGCTCCTGCTGGGTCCCATTGAGGAGAGGCCTCTTTCTGCTGTGGATGCTTTCTGCTGTGGCCTGAAGAGCCTGGCAAAAAGGAATCTGAACCCCACTCAGGGGCATCCCCAAACAGAATAGTCTGTCTTCAGGACTAGTGAGTTTCCTGTTGCTGGAAAGGCTCAGACAGGGACTCCAAAAACATTTCAATTACCTTTTCATAGACCCAAAGTCTGACTTTTAATGCCACTCCAGTGTGGCTTTATATATGCGATTGCACTTGAAGACCCTCTACTAAATGCAAAGTACTTAATGGCATTCTTCCCTGAAATTTTCTCAGTGATGACTGAGTGACTCTTGTGCGGTGATTTGAGGCTTGGGAGAAAGACCCGACTTGCCGGCAACTCTCTCCTGTCACAGCACCTGAGTTGTCATCACTGCAGACTCATTCCACTGACTCCCCAGAGCACTCTATTCAGTTAACATGCCCTGCAGGCAGAGTAGCAGGAGCTCTAGCAGCTGACCCATCCTGGGCCTTGACAGCCTGGTGCAGAGCCAGGGATGACTTTTCTGTGACAGTCATAGCTGTGGCTGTGGCACTGTGGAGCAGGGTGATAGCAAGGCTTCTAATCCTGGCTCTGCCACTGACAGATACAGGCAGCAGCTGCTGGCAAGCTCCTTCTGTCTCAGAGCCTTGTCTGTGAGTCTGTGAGTGGGGGCACAGAGTGGCTAGAGCCCTTATTTTCTCAGAAACCCTGAATCCTGATTTTAGGAGATGATGGTTTTGTCAGAGGCGTTTGAACCAGAGCAACTCCATCTTGAGTAAGGGCTGGGTAAAATGAGATTGAGACCTACTGAGCTGCATTCACAGACAGTTAAGTCATTCTAAGTCATAGGATGAGATATGAGGTCGGCACAAGATACAGGTCATAAAGACCTTGCTGATAAAATAGGCTGCAGTAAAGGAGCCGACTCCAACCTACCAAAACCAAGATGGCAACGAGAGAGTGACCTCTGGTCGTCCTCACAGCTACACTTTCACTGGCACCATGACAGTTTACAAATGCCATGGCAATGTCAGGAAGTTACCCTATATGGCCTAGAAGGGAAGGCATGAATAATTCACCCCTTGTTTAGCATATCATCAAGAAATTACCATAAAAATGGGCAAACAGCAGCCCTCGGGGCTGCTGTCTATGGAGTTGCCATTCTGTTAATTCCTGACTTCCTTAATAAAGTTGCCTTCACAGATTTGTCCTGAGTTCTTTCTTGAGTGAGATCTAAGAACCGTCTCTTGGGGTCAGGATCTGGACTTTTTCCTGTAACAGTGTGAACTCTACCAAATGCGATTGGCTTTGATTTTGTCAACTAGGGTGGGGTTGGGTCAAGGTGATGTCCACAGGCTGTGCCTCTCCCATAACACACAGGGTTCCCAGGACCACAGCACTGGTATCACCTGGCCGTCCGTCACACAGACAGATTCCTTGCCTGCTACCTGCCTTACTGAACCAGAGCTGTTGATGTGGGCCCAGCAATCTGCCTGTAATAGACCCTTGGGTGATTCTGATGCACAGTGAAGTCTAAGACCCTTTTCCACAGGGAAAAGTCCAGCCTCTCTCTCACATATCTCACAAGCCCTGAAGAATCTGGCCCCTGCCTAAAGCTCCTGGCTGTGTCCTTCTTTTCCCAATAGCACATGGATGTGTGTGTGCACACACGTGCACGTGCGCGCGCGCGCACACACACACACACACACACACACTACACTTTGTTAAAAGATAAACTGAGGCACATTAAAATATTAGAGTTTATTTGAGCATTCAGCCATCCATGAACTGGGCATTTCCAGAATTCAAATGGTGCATGATCTTGCCAAAGAGGTTTGAAGGAGAGGGTTTTACAGAACAAATGTGGAAGCAGAGCAAAAAATGTATTTGATTAGTCAATGTTTGAGCAATTAGCTTGAAATGGCCTTTGCAAAAGTTGTAACAGTGGGAAAATTATGACAGTGAAAGAGATCCAAGCTAACCAGCTCCATCTTGCCTTTAACTTCCAAACTGCCCTTGGTCACTTCTGGGCGTGGGCCAAGCTAATGTTGGTAGAAATTTAGTTTATAGTTTAAATGTTAATAGCTCTTCCCTAAAACTAAAGCCACTATGTAAAACTAATGAAAAGCCACCTGGTTAGAAGGATGAAAGAGGTCTGAATTTGTAGTTAAATGATTACCAGTCATTATTCCAGAGGTCACAAAATTTGCAACTTCCCCAATTACTCCCGTAAGTAATATTACTATTGTAGAATTAAGATTGGACTTTTAAGATGTCGTTTCAGACTTTTGCATTCCTGATGAGCAGATGGCTGCACCCAGACCTATGACTCTCCACTCAACCAATCCTATGACCCTCACCCAAAAGTAGACTCAGAGCATGAGGACCATTTTCCACACCCCTGTGATTGCATCCTCAACCAATCAGCAGCACCCATTCTCTAGTCTCCTGCACTCCAAACTCTCTGAAAAATCCTAACTTCCAAATTTTAGAGAAGGCCTGTCTGAGTAATAATAAAACTCTGTTCTCCTGGTTAGCTGGCTCTAGGTGTGTTAAACTCTTTCTCTATTGCAATTCCCTCATCTTGATAAATTGGCTCTATCTGGGCAGTGAGCAAGGTGAACTCATTGGGGGGTTATAGCCTCATTTGAACTATCCTGGTAGGAACTTGAAGACAAAATAACTAATGCTCAGTTGGTTGCCTGTGATTAGTTGAGCTTAAGTTTTGTTTTCTTTTAATTTCTGAGTTAGGTTTTGGTTTGCTTACATAGGAACCCAGGGTGTCAGAGCCACTTCAATCTAGTGACCTCCCATTTTGTTGTTTTAATAATTATGACTGGGCATTCCCCTACCATCTAGAATGTGGAGAACTCTCATGGATAATTTATACCACTGTGATTTTGTTCATGCTATTTCCATCTCCCGAATTTTGTATTGAAGCTCAGAAACTAATATCCCAAAATATGGCATGCTGACATGCTGAACTGAAGAAGCCTCAGGTCTCTCTGACCTCCCCTTGCCTCCACTGTCTCTCTCAAAGAAGCTGAAGTTTCTTTATCTACTTAAGATCCAGATCCACCAAGGAGAATACTTGTTCTTTCTTCCCTTCCCTATTATCTCATTAGCTGTTGCAGAAAAGAAGACCAAGGTATGACCACACCTGAACAGACTCTTTTACAAGCATAATGATTGTCCAAAGACCATCCACATTCCAAAGCAAACTACTTACTATTTACAAGGTTATCTCTGTTCCCCATCTAATTATCCTTCCTAGCACTCACTTACTGCCCTTCAACAGAATTCCTCCTCTCCTCACCAATAACCTGTTTTACCAGAATCTGAGCCCCCATTTTTTCTGTAACTTCAAAATGACATATAAGCTTCTGTAGCTCATTGGGAAGTTGGGTCTTTATTCTGAAGGCTCCTGTGCATACACATTAAATACATTTTTATGCCTTTTCTCCTGTTAACCAATCTGTCTCATTCCAGTGATTTTTCAGTGAACCTTTAGGAGGCCAATGGCCATGGTCCTGAGAGATGCTTTTGACACAAACCCCTGGCCCACCCCTTCTCCTGGAAACCCAAGAACAACTGCTCATGTCTTTTGCTTAATCTCCTCCCCAAAGCCTCTCTGGAATCATTTGTCCTCAGAATGTATTGACTCTACCTTCCTTTATGTTGTAGCATGTCCTGACTCCTGCCATCTTACCTGTCACACTATGGGGCGCTGTGTATCCACCCTTTCCCTTTGAACCTTCACTCCTTGAAGGCAGTCTCACTGTCTCACTTTTTTGTTGTACCCCAGGGTCTACTCCAGGGTGATCACCACCTAGAAGGGACTTCTTAAATGCTTACTGGACGAATGAGTTGTCTACAGAGCTCCCAAGAAGAAAATACATATTGTATGGTCAGCTGAGTTCTGGACAAATAGTGGATTGACCAGCTTTGATAAGGGTGTGTAGCTCCTTTCTGGAGGATGGTGGAGAATTCTACAGGGCACCTTGAGGATACTGGTGCCTGAGAACAGGTCAGGGAAAGTTGCTCAACAGGGAAAGTGTTAAGCTAAAATGGGAAGGGGACATTGACCACCTGGGCCTTTGTCTTATGTTGGGCTAAGATCAGTCTTGGCTATTTGGATGGTACACATTTTAAAAGGCTGGCCCTCTTGCTATTTACTGCACATGCCTTACTCATTTCAGACTGTCAATAGCTGGCACAGCGCCTGGTACATGTAGGCAGTCAGTCAATGTTGGCTGAATGGGTGGGAAACTTGGAATGGTGCAGAGGTGATTTCTAACAGGGAAGGGACAAAGCAGCAGGTGCAAAGCTAAACTGGATGCAGAAACAGCATCCAGCTTTGGAATCCAAAAAAGCTGGGTATTTCAAATCCCAACTTCACTATTTGTTGTGGATGTCAGGTGAGTCACTTAACCTCTCTGAGCTTCAGATTCTCTATAAACAGGAAGAGTGGTTGATATGATTTATGTTTATGATTTGCCTGGCAGATAGTACATGGTCAGCAAACAGTAGCTATAGTAGATGAGATCCCTGGGAAGATGACTCCCCTGCCTGTGTGGGATGTGAGGGAGAAATATGGAAGCCTTCTCACTTCAGGTGTCATGCTCAGCATATATTCAGAATTCATTTTCTTATTGGTCTTGCAAAGAGCCTTTTGGGAACAGTTTTCTTATTGAAACATATCCAGGGTTTAAACCTGCAGGTATAGGGTGGTGGCAGTCCACCTGGCATCCTTTGCTCTGTCCCTGGTATCCTCTCTCTGACTATTCAGGTTCCCACGAGGATATTCTCACCCTTGAATAATGGAGCTTGCATAAGACCAAGCTTCTGTTTTCATATTCCTTGAGCTGAGGCCACAAGAACTTCCAAAGTGTTCACTGAATATCTAGGAGAAACAACAGAGGGTAATTGGAGCATAAATTTAGTTGGCTCAGCATATTCAGATGTCTGATCCTAGCAGAGTTAGTGCTCTCTGGAGCCTGTCCTATTCCATGAGGAATTCTAAAAAGAGAGCTCATCTAGGGAATTCTCCCTTCTTAGTTCTTGGATTTCTTTCCCCACCGTTCTCCCTGGGTTTCCTTACTTTCAAGAGCAAGCCTCAAGTCCTGAGAGCAGAGAGATGCAGCAAAGAAGTGGTTGGTTGCCCTGTGGTTGGTTGCCCTGTGGAGGTTCGTTGAGGATCAGCATAGTCACAGCTCCCCACTTCCCATGGTCTCAGCATAGCTGGAGCCTTCACATTGCAAGGACTCCTCCTCCCAAAGCCAAAGTCACCCAAGTCAAGACCAGTGGATAACTCAAAATGAGATGTGCTGGTGCAGGGGAGATGGAGACCACAGAACACAGATCTTGGCTCCAGGACCCTACAGTTGAGGAGGGAAGGGAAGACAGAAAGACAGAAGGTGTATTAGTCAAGAGTCTTCAGAGAAACAGAATCAATAAGATACATATGTGTGTGTGTATATATATATATTTACACATGCATGTATGTATATACATATGTATATATGTGTGTATATGTGTATGTGTGTATATATGCATGTATATATACGTATATATGTATGTATATATATACGTATGTACATACATATATACATGTGTGTATATATATACATATATACACATACGTATATATATACATGCATATATACACACATATATGTATATGCGTATATGTGTGTATATATACACACACATATATACATACATATACACTCTCTAGCTCTCTCTCTATATATATACATGTGTATACACATATATACATATACACACACACACACACACACACACACATCTGAGAAGTTCCATGATTTGCCGTCTGCACGCTGGAGATGGAGAAAAGCTGGTGATGTAACTCAATCTGAGTCCAAAGGCTTGAGAATAGAGTGGATGCTGGTGTAAGTCCTAAAGTCTGAGGGCCCAAGAACCAGGGGTCAGTGTCAAAGGTCAGGAGAAGATGGAAGTTCCAGCTCAAGAAGAAAGAGAATTTGTCCCTCTTCTGTCCTTTTGTCCTATCTGGGCTCTTAACAGATTGGATGTCACCCGCCCACATTCTTTACTCAGTCTATTAATTCAAATGCTAATCTCCTCTGGAAACACCCTCACAGATGCACCCAGAAACCATGTTTTACCAGCTACCTGGGCACCTTTTAGCTCAGTCAAGTCGACACATAGAATTAACTATCACAGAAGGGAAATGTGTACAGGACCCTTCTGTGATGCGGCGGGTGTACTGGAGGCACCACAGGTGTGATATTGTGCTGGCCTAGAGCCAGAACCTGAGCAACACTATTTTATAAAATGCAAAACTGTTTTTTAAATAAGTTGAAATGGCTGCCCCATTCTCCTCACAATAACTACTGTCCTTGGCCTCTGTAAATAGAACTGCTAGTTTGTTCTGCAAAACTATGTAAAGCTGCTTACCTTTTCTTATCAGTAACTGCTAAAATCTGTGACTTCTATCACCACCCAGATGATGTGTAAACAAATGTATATCTTGACTTCTGTAAACCACTGAAGTAACAAACAGAATGACAAAAGTTCCCTGGCCCTTGGAATGTCCGGAGACCCCCGCCCTTGTCTCCACCCAGGAGGTGAATCACAGAATCCCCAAGCCCTTGGAATGTCTGAAACCTTTTCATCCCCATCCCCGCTCCTCACCCCCACACCCAAGGTGATTTTTCGGGTATAAAAAGTCGTGGCACCCTCCTTTTGACACCACAGGTTGGAGAGACATGAGTCCTCTGTGGTCACCGGCATAATAAATGACCCTGCAATCTGGCATACTTTTGTCTTGGCGATAACTTTCTACACTCGGTCCAGTACAACACAGGCTCACCAAGGAGGGGGTGGTCTAGTCAGCCCAGGGGCATGGTGGACCCAGATTGAGAAAATGAACAGGTGAGTTTGGGGTATGGAGAAGGTGGTGGGGAGGGAGGATGTTTCAGGCAGAAGAAGTACTGCACCCAAAGCATGAAGGAATGAAACAACCTGGCCCCATGGGGGACCTCGAACCTGAATCTAACTCAATGTGGGATTTGGGGGTGTAGAGGAAAGTCCAGTGGGTGTGTCCTCTAGAATAATAGTATTTACAAATAAAGTTGTATATTATTTATATATAAATACATAGTATTTCAGTAAATGAAAGAATATAAAATAATGTAAGTTTCCCCCACCCTAAACCTGGCCCACATAGTTTACTGAAGGGTTTGAGTGAAAAAGAGGACAGAGATATCGGTGGCACCTCCAGCTCCTCCCTCATGCTCAGAAATAAAAGCAGAAAAAAATAAGTTCAACCAAACTTGTAGCCTGGTTCAGAAGAGGTTCTAGAAGTCCAGGGACCAGGAGCATCAGAATTTTATAAATATTTAGAAACTTTTTAACTAAACATGTTATTTTGTTATTAAATGTCTGTTTCTACTCAATGACTTGAAGAAAAGTAGCACATAGTCAGAATATTAGTCAGTACAGGCTAGGGTCTGCTGCAGAAACTAACTAACCCAGGAATCACTATGACTTCATGCAATAAAGGTTTATGCTTTTCTTTGTGTAAAGTTCAATGTGCTCAGGGGGCATTTTCTACTTTTTACTATGTCACTTGATGTATACTGCCTCTGCAAGAGAGAAAGACACATGTCACTTGCATTCACAGGTCATAACTATTCACATAGTCTCAACCCAGGTTCAAGGGAGGCTGAGAAGTGCAAAGAAGCACACGGAATACTTGGCGCATGCCATCTCTGCCAAGCATTCCCTTCTCATCACCAGCTGTCTCCTCATTTCTTTCTGCCCCCACATAGAGCTCAGTCAACCCCTCCTCTAACACCCCACCCCCACCCCCAGTCACCACATACAGTTCAAACTCAGATCTCTGAGTGATGTCTAGCCATCTTCCCATCAAGTTCACATGTGGCTCCTTTTGGTCCAAGGATATCTGAACAGAAAAAAAAAAGTCACCTGCCAACCCTGCTTCCAATACATAATGATGGAACTGAGATAGTATGGCCTCAATAGGCACTCCTCACTTGGAAAGCGGAAGGATGGGAAGTACATAGAGTCACTGTCTGTAGCAGTTCTGAAATCCCACTGGGCAGATGTCATGAAAGCCTGTATCCTTGGCATCTGTGGTTAGGGCCTAATTCTGCTAAGAGGTGCTTCTTTGTTCACGTTTCTCCATGAGCCTGTTTCTCCATGGTTCACCTGTGAGTTCATTCCTTTTTTGTAAGCCTCCTTGGTAGCATGTGAATCAGGCATTGAGAAATAAGCCCTCCTTAGGGACTGCTGCTCTAAAAGTTTGGTGCAAGCCTTAACACTTGAAGAGTGAAGGGCTTACTCAGTCTGTCTGTATGGTTTCTTTGGTAATATGACTCTCAAAAGTGTAATGCAGGTATATTTCATTTTACTGCACTTCACTTTTTGTACTTCACAGATATTGCACCTTTTACACATTAAAGGGTTATGGCAACCCTGCATTCAGCAAGTCTCATTTTACTAGCAGCATCTGCTCACTTCATGTCTGTGTCACATTTTGGTAATCTCAAAATATTTCAAACTTTTTCATTATTATTATATCTGTTATGGTGATCTGTGACAATGATCTCTGATGTCACTACTGTAATTGTCTTGGGGTGCCATAAACAGCAAACTTAACTGATAAATGCCTGTGTTCTGACTGCTTTATTGATTAGCTGTTCTCCCATCTCTCCCCATCTCCTCAAGCCTCCCTGTTACCTGAGATATAACAATATTACTATTAGGCCAATTAATAACCCTACAATGGGCCTTGAATCATTCAAGCGAAAAGAAAAGTCACATATCTCTCACTTTAAATTAAAAGCTAAAAATGATTAAGCTTAGTGAGGAAGCCATGTCAAAAAATGAGACAGACCAAAAGCTTGGCCTCTTGGGCCAGTTAGCCAAGTTGTGAATGTAAAGGAAAAATTCTTGAAGGAAATTAAAAGTCCTGCTCCAGTGAACACACAAAAGATAAGAAGGCTAAGCGGCCTTATTGCTGATATGCAGAAAGTTTTAGTGAACAGAATAGATCGTGTTAGCCACATTTTCTTAAGCCAAAGCCTAACCCAGAGCAAGATCCCAACTCTCTTCAGTTCTATGAAGGTTGAGAGCGGTGAGGAAGGGGCAGAAGAAAAGCTGGAAGCTAGAAAAGGTTGGTTCATGAGGTTTAAGGACAGAAGCTGTCTCCATAACATGTAAGTGCAAGGTGAGGCAGCAAGTGCCGATGTAGAAGATGCAGGAAGTTATCCAGAAGATCACTGATGAAGGTGGCATCAGTGTAGATGAAACAGCCTTCTCCTGGAAGAAGATGCCATCTAGGACTTCCACAGCTGAAGAGAAGAAATTAATGAAAATGATTCCTGAATACACCACTGGGTATTTTAAGTCCCCTGTTGAGACTTATTGCTCATAAAAAAGATTCCTTTCAAAATATTACTGCTCATTGACAATGAACCTAGGCACCAAGAGCTCTGATGGAGCTATACAAGGAGATGAATGTTGTTTTCATGCCTGCTCACACAACATCCATTCTGCAGCCCATGAATCAAGGAGTCATTTTGACTTTCAAATCTTATTATTTAAGAAATACATTTTATAAGGCTATAGCTGCCATAGATAGTGAATCCTCTCATGGATCTGGATAATATAAATTGAATACCTTCTGGAAAACACTCACCATTCTAAATGCCATTAAGAACATTCATTATCTGGAGAGAGATCCAAGATGGCTGATCACTAGCAGCTCGGGACTGTAGCTCCCAGTGAAAGCACAGAGAACGAGAGGACACCACACTTTCAGACGAATTTTTGTTGCTCATGCACCAGGAGATTCCCAGTGGAGGAGACCCATGGATCGCCAGCGCAACTCTTGTGGCTGGCGAGGCGGTTTTGCCGCTGCCTTGGTGCAGTGGTTCTTGGGGCAGAGTCAGAAAAGCACCATCAATCATAACACCACTGTTTTGGCCTGCGCAGTGGGTTGCTCAGATTTTAGCACTGGGAATCAACAAGTTGGACGTCCACTCAGAAACCCAATTGTAAAGACGGTAATTATAAAGACTACAGATGGATAAATCTATAATGAAGGGAAGAAAATAGCCTAAAAAGGCTGAGAATATCCAAAAACAGAACGCCTCTCCCTCTACAGGGGATCACAGTTCCTCATCAGCAACGGAACAAGGCCTGATGGAGAACGAGTGTGTTCCATTAACAGAAGAAGTCTTCAAAAGGTGGATGATAAGAAACTTCTGTAAATTAAAAGAGCTTGTTCTAACCCAATGCAAAGAAACTAAGAACTTTGAAAAAAGGTTTGATGAAATGTTAACAAAAATACACAATTTAGAGAGGAATATAAGTGAATTAATGGAGCTGAAAAACACAACATGAGAACTTCACGAACTATGCACAAGTTTTAACAGCGAATAGATCAAGCAGAAGAAAAGATATCAGAAGTTGAAGACCAACTTAATGAAATAAAACAAGATTACAAGATTAGAGAATAAAGGATAAAAAGGAATGAGCAAAGTCTCCAAGAAATATGGGACTATGTGAAAAGACCTAATCTACGTTTGATAGGTGTACCTGAATGTGACGAAGAGAATCAATCCAAGCTGGAAAATACACTTAAGGATATTATTCAGGAAAACTTTCCCAACCTAGCAAGGCAGGACAATATTCAACTCCAGGTAATACAGAGAATACCACAAAGATATTCCTCAAGAAGACCAACCTCAAAGCACATAATCGCCAGATTCACCAGGGTTGAAATGAAAGAGAAAATACTGAGGGCAGCCAGAGAGAAAGGTCAGGTTAACCATAAAGGGAAGCCTATCAGACTCACGGCAGATCTCTCAGCAGAAACCCTATAAGCTAGAAGAGAGTGGGGGCCAATATTCAACATCCTTAAAGAAAAGAACTTTCAACCCAGAATTTTACATCCAGCCAAACTAAGCTTCATAAGCGAAGGAAAAATAAAATCTTTTGTGAACAAGCAAGCACTCAGAGATTTCATCACCACCAGGCCTGCTTTACAAGAGCTTCTGAAATAACCACTACACATAGAAAGAAACAACCAGTATCAGCCTTTCTAAAAAATACCAAAAAGTAAAGAGCATCAACATAATCAAGAATTTACATCAACTAATAGGCAAAACAGCAAGCTAACATTAAATGGCAGTATTAAACTCACATATATTATTATTAATTCTAAATTTAAATCTACTAGATCCCCCAATCCAAAGACACAGACAGGCAAAAAAAGCCAAAACCCATCGGTATGCTGCATCCAGACCCATCTCACATGCAAGGATACACAAAGACTCAATACAAAGGGATGGAGAAAGGTTTACCAACCAAATGGAGAGCAAAAATAAATAAATAAATAAAAAGCAGGAGTTGCTTTAAAGCAACAAAGATCAAAAGAAGCAAAGAAGGATATTACATAATGATAAAAGGATCAATGCAACAAGAAGAGCTAAAGATCCTAAATATACATGCACTCAACACAGGAATACCCAGGTATTTAAGACTTATAAAGAGACTTAGACTCCCGCACAGTAATAGTGGGAGACTTCAACATCAATATTAGACAGATCAATGAGACAGAAAATTAACAACAATATCCAGGATTTGAACTCAGATCCGGAACAAGTAAATTTAATTAACATTTATAGAACTCTCCACTTTAAATACACAAAATATACACTCTTATCAGTACCACATCACATCTATTTACAGGTTTAAATGAAATATTGGTTGGATGCTTGTTTGCTATTTTCTTCCCTCATTTTTTTTTCATGTCTCTATTATTAAGCACAATTATAGGCATACCCATTTTTAGATGGCATTCTAGCCCAGGCAATAAAGCAACACCCCTGTTCTCTCTCCCTCTTCCCCTTTCTCTTTCTTCCTCTCCTTCATTCAAAAAAAAAAAAACAAAAGAACATTCATTATCTATAGGAGGAAGTCAAAATATCAATATGAACAGGAGTTTGAAAGACATTGATTTCAACCCTCATGAATGACTTCCAGGGGTTCAAGACTTTGCAGATGAAGTAACTACTGATGTTGGGGAAACAGCAAGAGAACTAGAATTAGAAGTAAAGCTTGACTATATCATTGAATTGCTGAAATCTCCTGAGATGAAGTCAACTGGTTAAGATGCTGTAAGCGTTATTGAAATGACAGCAAACTACTGAGAATATTACATACACTGTTGATTAAGCAGTGGTAGGGTTTGAGAAGACTGACTTCAATTTTGGAAGAAGTTCTACTACGGGTAAAATGCTATCAAACAGCATACAATACTTTTCTTTTGTGAAAAAAGAGTTAAACAATGTGGCAAATTTCATGTTTGTCTATTTTAATAAATTGCCACAGCTATGCCAGCCATCAGCAACCGTCACCCTGAGCAGTCAGCAGCTTTCAGCATCAAGGCAAAACCCTACACCAACAAAAAGATTACAGCTCATTGAAGGCTCAGATGATTAGTTAGTAGTTTCCAGCAATAAAGTATTTTAAAATTATGATATGTACATTTTTAGACATAATGCTATTGCATACCTAATAGCTTACAGTATGTGTAAACATAATTTTATATGCACTGGGAAACCAAAAAATCATGTATCTCACTTGATTGTGATTTTTACTTTATTGCGGTGGTCTGGAACCAAACCCACAGTATCTTTGAGGTATGTGATACACTCCTTGTTTATTTGCTCCCAGCCAAATCCATGCATCAGTAACTGCACCCAAAATTTG